TAACAACATAAGATCTAATAAGCAAAAAGTAACACTTTTGTTACGAACGTAACACCTCTGGCTAGAGGCGGGAAAATGATGCGCTGTGAAAAAAAGTCGCGCTAATCAAAACTGGCACCGCATAGATTAAGGGTACGGTAGGTCGCAAATTTTTTTTCCGCGTTGATCAAAACTGCGGTATTCAAAACCATGCTAATCAAGGGATTGCTGTAGAGCAAATATTTTTTTACTACAGACCTTTGCAGAAGTACTGTTTCAAAATATCATTTTATAACATTTTTCAAGGAATTTTTAGAGCTAGTAGATGTATGGTTTCTTAACTTCCTTTATGCTACATAGGTAGATAGGAAGAATGTTGAAGTTTACTATACTATTTAAGTTTTGCAATATTTCAAATTTCAATTAGTTTTGCTGACATAACATTTTTATGCCATGGCATAGGACTGACCCAATTTACCCTGCCAGTCCCTTATTATCCGGTTTGAAGGTATTAAGAAATATGTCAATAATAATGCTGGAATTTTCCCTATCTCACTATGGCTATTGTCTAATTTCTTTTGTAAAAATTGTGAAATGCAAATATTCCCTAAGATTTTCAAAATTACCTGTAAAATAATTGGTTCCACTTGTAATTTTTGGATAATAATATTTTCTGGGAATTAAATATTAGATAATAATAGGTATTTTAGATTGATTATTTGTCCATATTCATTTCCTCACTTAAATTTATGAGTAAACACTTTTGGTAACCATTTTATAACTATCCACTCAATGTATGTGTGACTATTTCCACAGAAAGGTATCAATAATGAGCCTCCTTGCTAGGCAAAGTTGTAACCTATTACAAAATAAGGCCCTTTCCAAATTTATCTGTTTTTTCCATGGTTCTCAGTGTTTTTCCCAAGAAAATGTACATAAAAACAAAAAACCCTGTTCTCAAACAACTAGAAAAGATAAAAAAGTCCCTCCATCATCAAAATATCAACAGACAGTTTTTCTGCCTTCCACTAAGTTGCCATTGAGGGTCAAGGACATCTTAGAACATGAACTTCAAATACAGAAGGTATGCCCCTAATATATTTTGACATAGGTATTGTGTCTTTGACTAAAAAATTATATCAATGAAATATGTTAACTGAACTGTAGGGTAAAAATAAATTGGATAACTCTAGTGAATTCGTTTATTTATAATCAACAATTCTTCATTGAACATCTGTTAATTCTTTGAAATTGGTAATGGCAATTTATTAGAGTTTTTGATATTTTTTAGTATTTTCATACCTGTCATTTGATACTACTTATTTCTGAATTTTTTGATATGCACAGGAGTTTGAGTGGAATAAACAGTATGAGAGGCAGTATATGCAGACAGAGAGGAGAGCAGAATTTGTTCTCCATGATGGTCCTCCTTATGCTAATGGCAGCCTACATATTGGCCATGCTCTCAACAAGGTAACATCCTGATGAATGTATAATTATCCATTTCACTTTGATTAATTTTCATCTTTTGAAAATATGCTTTTCAAGTTTGCTTAAGTAATAAAATTTTATGAATCAATGAAGGTTCAAACTATCTAAGAAATACCTAGCTCAAATTCAATTTTTTTGGGGTTATTAGAGTAACTAGTACAAGATATTTTAACTGGTCAATACTTTTCACTCATACTCTCAATGGCCCAATAGCCCAAAGGCCATTGAAAGTTGAACTCTTAGTTATTTGCTATCAAGTTGAACTTGAAACATTCATTTCTCACCATTAGAATAAGCTATCATTAGAAAATATTGTCAAGGAGAAAGAAAAAAGTTATTTAAGTGGTAATTTTAATGTGAAACTTATTTGCAAAATGATAATGTATTTTCTCTAATTAAATTTTTTTCGTGCTATTGTAATGAAAATCATGTTCATTGACAGGTCTCTGTATTAGAAATTATCTTGGTATTTTCAAATTTGAATGTAGTTAAATTTTTGCACTCAACAATGTACACTATTTTTTATACTATTAATAATCAACAGATTTTGAAAGACATAACGGTTCGCCAGAAATTGATAGAAGGATTCAAGGTGCATTACAAGCCTGGCTGGGACTGTCATGGCCTGCCCATTGAATTGCAAGCCATGAAAATGGGATCTTCACCAGGAGCTGGTGTGAAGAGCCTCTCACCTTTGGAGCTTCGTAAAATATGTAAGTTGCATTTTTCAAATTGAAGTGATATTGTTTATTGTTTTGTCATGTTTCTAGGATTGGTTTCCTATAGCAAAATTTGAGGAGTGTCTTGAACAGCAAAGGATAAATCTACATTGCTATATAATTATGATTAAAATGAGCGAAAAGAAATGTATTTTTTTCAGGTTACTCAGCTTGTTGGATGTGGTTCTGCTTACTTGACAAATTGATTTAATTCTGGATTTTGATGTTTATTTTTATTAATTAAAAACCCCTAATTTTTAATAATTAAAAACCCATAATTTATTGTGCATGGAGTTCTAGAAGCAGAGGTGGAAATACCTAGGCATGAATAAATATCCCAAAATTTATATCTCTCATCAGTGTGGAATTCTAGAGGGATATTAAATTAATCAGTACACATAGCATATTGGAAAGCAGGACCTGAAAGGTTGGAAAGTCCAGGAACTTTCCACTTCCAGTCCATTTTATTATATACATTATACATATCCTATCACTTTTCAACTGTGATTGGTTTATGGGATTGTGATTTTAGCCCCTTCCAGCTTTCTAGCTGTGATTGGTTAAGTCATGAAAAGATCCGGTCAAATGACACGAGTTTAGATTCTATGAACAAGGCACGAAATGGAAAAGAATCGGCGACAGGCCACATCAGGCCTACACTTCAGAGCCGACATCACTATGTTATGTTATGTTATGTTATAACAGTTCATTGTCCTCTACTGTGCTTGAGGGTTAAAATGAGGATATTAACAAAGGTTCTGGCTCTAAAGTTGGTGGTTGAACTTTCTGTGTATTATTTAAATATGGAATTAGCTACGTTTCTTCAATTTACTTTATAATTAAATAATCAATTAGTTGTATGATATTGAATGAAGTTGAGGTTAGCTATGTAGTTTCCCTTCATATTTGCATACTATCTAATTTCATGTAATATAAAACTGTTTTAAACATGGTGACCAAATTTAATTAGTTCTTCAAGTTCTACTGTAATCTACTTTTTCAATATACATAATATTTTGAAATTTCCAGGAGTAAAATCCATCTTGGGCTTCCTGGCTTGGCCATCCATGCTTGTTCTGGCTTAAAAATTTAAATTTCAGCATATTTATCTGTCTGCCTACAAAAAATTAGAATAAAGGATTAAATAGCTGACTGCACTTGCATTACATTTGCTTGATATACTCCCCTTCAAATTAAAAACATCATTGCTTCTTGGTTTGTCCAATCAGCTGCTTTTGTTGTTGACCAATATTTTTTACAATGGGCTTGTGTAAGTTTTACTCCAACTTTAGAAAACAAACACCTACATGCTCAACCAACATCAAGTAATGAACTGCTTTGTTAGAATAAAATATAAGATATTCACTCCTCCATGAGATTACTGCTGTTATTATATACGTTTCAAATTTCATATGTACATAGGGAATGATTAATTAACTTGACATTTTTTTTCCTGACCCAGAACAGATTTTTATATTGGGTTCTACATTCAAGGATAATTTTTTAATGTGATCAACAAAAAGTGTGTGTGAAAATTATCTTGAATGCACGATATTGTATTTCAGAATATTTTCTTTTGTATGTGAATAAAAACCTTTTTACAGGTTAGTTGTATTTTCATCTTGCTGCCATGAATTTGTTCTTCTTGCAGCTCGCCAATTTGCCGAGTCTTGCGTCAAGGAGCAGAAGAAGACTTTTGAACGCTGGGGCGTTTTGGGTGACTGGAACAATGCTTACCTCACAGCCCAGCCCAGCTATGTTGCTCGGCAACTCAGGCTCTTTGACAGGCTCAAGAAGAAAGGCCTGATATTCCAGGTCAATAGAATGCTTTGATAGATTTAGATCAATGAGTGAGACTTTACATTTTGTATACCGGTAATGCCCAATTTGATAGGCCTGACATACCAGGTTACATATTAAAATTACACTAAAGGTACCAAAAATGGCCATTAATGGTATAAAAAATGTTCTGTATTTGTATTGAAATATTTTTTTTCTATTTGTAAAGATATGAAAAAATTTGTTTTATGTTGATGAAAATACTCTTATGTATTTGAATATATTTGGAAAAAAGCAACCATCTGAAATACTTGGAGATACTCACTGCTTTTAAGTAAATTTGTATTCAAGGATCTTAATTTATTTGTGATCAGCATTTATCATGTTTTAAAGGAGAAAGATCTTGGTACCATGAATGTTCCATTTTCTATTTTATGAATACACACTGTCAGAGGCTCAAACCCATTTTGCTTCTTACTTGTTATTGTGATTAGCATCTGCAAAAGGAAAACATTTGTTTTATTCATGAACATTTTTAAATATAGTCTAGATTAACCATACTTATTTGTGCATGAAATACGCAAAATATGCTAATTATTGACCAAGTTCTAGGCTGAGGCTAATGTGATTATAAGAAGCAAGCAAAAGAATGTTTCAGTTTTTTTCAGGCTCACATGCCGGTATTCTACTCGCCCTCCTCGCGGACGACGTTGGCAGAAGCAGAGCTTGTGTACAAGGATGATCACATCAGTCCAGACCTCACCTTAGCACTGCGCTGTGCAAGCTTTTCTACACGTCTTAAGGTATGAAAAATTGACTATTTAAAAATTTTAATTTTTTGCTGTAGTTTCCATGATTGAAGCATATTAGATAATAATTGCAGAATCTTCAGTAATTAATGTCATCTTTTTCAAATTCATGCTGGGATAAAAAAATCTGTTTGTTTATTTACATGCATTGATTTACTCGATTTACAAAATCATTTACTTGATTTACAAAAAGTAAATCATTTACTTGATTTACAGGAGACGCTATCGTCTCTGGGAGCCGACACTTTGCACTTGCCAGTTTTCACGACGACTCCCTGGACACTTCCTTTCAACCGCGCGGTGTGCTACAACCCCAAGCTGCCGTACTGCCTGGTCGCTCTCTCGCGCGGTGACAAGCGCGTCGTCGGTCTGTGGGCCAAGCAGCTTCTGCCGAGCATCGACACAACGGGCTGGCATTGGCAGCACCTTGCGGACATCAACAGTTCGTTTATAGTTTCAACAAGTCGTATCTAGTCTCAACAGTTCGTATCTAGTTGCAACAGTTCGTATTTAGTTGCAACAGTTCGTATCTAGTTGCAACAGTTCGTATCTAGTTTAAACAGGTCGTACCGGTATCTTTTTTCAACGTGTCGTATATCTAATGTCAAAAAGTCATAGGTTGCAATAAGTCGTATCTCGTTTCAACAGTTCGCATTCATGATTCAGTTCTGATATGATAATGATAATGGGCCAATGAATGATTTTTAATGGCGTCTTGCTCCTGCTGACCAGCAAAGAATTTGGTTGCATTGATTTATGGATATATTAATTTTGGATTAAAGTTCTCAATTACATTACCTTTCAATTAAATTGATTTCATCATTTCAATATTGATCAAAAAGCTAAGGACTCGTCACTAAAAGAGGTTGCGATGCAACTGGCATTCTGAAGAAAATTCGGATTGGCAACTACCGTAATTATGTTGTCGATTTGTCATCAAAATGTAATGCAAAGAAAGTTTTGATGGTGTGGAAGACCAAAAATTTACCGTTTGTTGTGCCAGAATTACAATAATGTATCAGTATGAATAATATCGGTGAATGCATATCAAGATATTTTTAATAATTTGATTATTCGTAGCGATTCTCTATAATATGGCACCATGAACCATTTCAGTAATATTTGAAAAATTGTTACCTCTGACACCGAGGAACGTTTTCACTTTTCAGTCTTTGCAACAATCTTTTGGTTACAGTTGAGGTGCTTGAGGCGGTACACTACCATCACCCTCACGATACTAGTCAGCTCTGACCCCCTGTTACCAAGTGACCAGCTACACTCTTTTGGTTACAGTTGAGGAGCTTGAGGCGATACACTACCATCACCCTCTCGATACTAGTCGGCTCTGCCCCCTGTTACCAAGTGACCAGCTACACTCTTTTGGTTACAGTTGAGGAGCTTGAGGCGGTACACTACCATCATCCTCTCGATACTAGTCAGCTCTGCCCTCTGTTACCAAGTGACCACGTAACCGCTGAGCGCGGGACCGGTCTTGTGCACACGGCGCCTGCGCACGGCCAAGAAGATTACCTGGTGGGGGTTGACCACGGCCTGCAGCTGGTGAGGACGAATTACATTTGCTTCTTGAGCAAATAACTCATGACAAGGCGAATATTTAATTCGTGACAGATCGACGCTTATAACGCATAATTATTTATTGTTATAAAAGCGTTATGCAAGTATAATTCTTCTGAAAATCGCCGGTCAGATGATTTTCAGAAGCCTCGACGCAACTAACTCTGGATTGTGACACAAATCCACTTTAATTAAATTAATGAGTGCTGTTATCGTCAGACCAGCGCTGTAGGCGACGATGGTTGCTACGAGGAAAGCCTGGGACCTCCGTTGGCTGGACTGTCGGTGCTGGAGGAGGGCAACGCTGCAGTACTCTCGTTGCTAGGTGAACCAATATGTTGAACTTGGAGCAAAATATCTTAGTCTAACCTACAGGATTTGTACACATTGCACTTGGATAATTCGATGTCTTTTGTTTGGTTTTGCTGTAGAAAAATAAGTGCTAGAGGTTTTATCGTGATAAATTCTCCCGTGTATTACTTGAGAGCATGATGATGAGAGCACATGGAAAACTTGCGCGCAGTGTCAGAGGGTTCTTACTTGGTGATTTTTTTTCATTTCCTTATGAGGTATTGAAGAATTAAGGCTTCGGTTTGGCATTAAGTTTAGAGTGTGAAAAATGTTTGCTGACTTGGAAAAGAAAACAAGCATAAAATTTATTTAATGTATAATTTTCCAGATGAAACTAGCAAAACAAACCAGGAAGCATTGGTGTTGCGCGCTGGCGAGATGCGTCACTCGTACCCATACGACTGGCGCACGGGCAAGCCTGTCATGATACGTGCCACTAAGCAGTGGTTCGTCAACACGCAGGCAGTGCGCGACGATGCTATGGTACGTCTCAAGTCCTGTGAGGGCAAAAATAATGTCAAACTTGAGCAGCTTATAAATTTCGTGGATCAATTTACGTAGTGAATTCAATTTTTTTTGCATCATATCATTGACTGTTGTTTCCATTTAGATAAAAAATTTTATCTATATAATGAATACTTATAACTCGCTATTTCAGAGTTGCCTCGAGGGAGTGAGAATTTTCCCCAATGATGGACAGGGGAAGAAGAATTTTGGCCAGCATCTGCAGCGGCGTCACTGGTGCATCTCCCGACAGCGCGTGTGGGGCGTGCCGCTGCCCGTCTTCTACGACGCTTGCACCGGAGACCTCATTGAGCACGAGTCAGGCTTGTAAAATTTATCTTTGAAAACACTTGAATTTAATTTGCATTTTGAAAAGGAAATGGGTATAATGTCAGATTTTTTTTAAATTAAGATTCATGAGGATGAAAAAATCTTGTGATTTGTTCAATCTTGAATAAATGCGGTAGGTACTGTCCCATAAAGCCTGCTCTTTTAGTTTAAATTGATCGATCGTTTAATTCTCTGAGATCTCTGCGGTAATGAGGTTTGTGAATCGTTATATTTTTTATAAGTAGAAGATATGAAGAATTGTTATGATATTTTCAGTGACATAGTCAAGCACGTAAGTGACATCATTGAACGCGAAGGCAGCGACGCCTGGTGGAGGCTAAGCGAGCGCGAGCTGCTGCCGCCCGTGCTCGTTCAGAGCTACGACGCCCGGGGAGAAACCCTGCCTGTCAAAGTGCGTCTGCGTACGTGTAATTTGTTCTTTATGATTCTGTAAATTATGAGATGTGCTTTGTCAGTAAATAGCTGAGAATCGAATTGATTCGCATTAGTACAACTCCCCCTCTGAACCCAATTTTCTCAAAGGAATAAATACCTTATTGGATTTCGTAATAGTTTAAACATCGGCTAAATTTGACTCAGCTTACCACGCTATGCACAAGGAACCTAACTAATTCTTATGATACTTCTTTTTGAGGGTAATAAGTAGTTAGGCGAGTCACTCCAAAAAATCCCAAAACGTTTCCAAAATTAACTTTCGTCGGCATTTTGAGTAGATATAGGATCCCTAACTTTTAGTGTCGAATTTACTGCTTATTTATTAAGCAGAAACGTCATAAGAATGTTATGGAAGCAACAAATGAACTTACTCGTTCTTTTTCATCTATGGAAGGCGTGACAAATGATTATTTTGTTTGTTATACGCAATACAATTTTCTTATGCTTGCTGCAAGACGTTGCTAAAGCTCTGATGCTAAAAATAAGTTCCTATGATAATCAGTTCAATATGTCTTACATAGGTTATTTACTGACGTAAGTCGCATTGAAGGGCAGTGACATCCTGGATATTTGGATGGACAGCGGCGTTACATGGCTGGAGTTGGGAGGCCGGACTGCGGACCTCGTCATCGAGGGCTTGGATCAGTACAGAGGCTGGTTCCAGTCCACGCTTGTCACGTCCGTGGCTGACAGGGGCACCGCTCCATTCAAGTGCGAATACAAATAAGTCTAGAAGAATATGCTGATATTGCATTCTCAGTTGAGACAGCAAAGGTGTTGATATAAATAACGAAGTAGATTTCTGACGACTATTTTATATTTCAATTATCTTTGATATATTTTTGCGAATGTTTTCGTCGACGCTCGCACATGTTAAAGTTTAACTACTTCACGTAAGTTTGAAAGTTTGCTAATGTATTATATTGTGTGCAGGAGAATACTGGTTCATGGTTTCACTGTGGATGAGCACGGCCGCAAGATGAGCAAGAGTGCCGGCAACGTGGTGGACCCTAAGACCATCACTGAGGGTAGCGCCGATATTAAGGGGCGTGGCACTGACCTACTCAGGTATGTCGATGATGGGTAATTCCTCCTTAGGTATGATGGTGATGGCTAATTTCTCCCCAAGTAATTACAAGGTTATTGCAAGCTTTTATCATATTATTAATTACTTATTGTTACAAGGTGACGATTAATTACTCCTCAGGTATGATGGTGACGAGTTATTACTCCTCAGGAATGTTGGCGATGAGTAATTACCGAAATTGGGTGATAAATTTGTTGCATTTCACACACATCTAATGAGTTCTGGTGCTTATTCACTGAACATTTGCTGAACTATTTATAATTTGATTTTCTGTTGGTATGACTACCTGAAGTTTAACAATCGAGAAGCTTCTTCGTTCTATCAGTGGAACCAATCATAATGGCCAGAAATGGCGATTATTTTACAGATGGTGGGTGTGCAGAACTGGAACTCTTCACAAAACTCCCACCTGCGGAGAGAACATTCTTGCTTCGTATAACGAAGAAGTTCAGCGGCTGCGATCCATAATGAGGTACAGATATCCAGTTTGCGTTCAAAATCTGTCTTGTATATGTGTTGTTGAACCTATTCGTATGTACCATATCTTTGATTTGGAGAGTAAATAATTTATCAAATCCATAGTCGACATTCTTTTCATTTTATTTCTCACCGTTAAATGTGATAAATTTTATTGTTGTTGAAAAATTGCCAAAAACTACAAGAGGGTTCTCAGCGTATATAGTTACAAATATAGAAGTGAAAAATTTCATTATCAACCTTCCGATATCACTATATCTATTTAATTTAATAATATTCTTGTCACTGCAGGTTCATGTTGGGATGTCTTTCCGACTACGACCCTGCAAAGGACGCGCCCAACTTCTCAGATTTATCCATGACCGATCGCTTCGCTCTTCATCGGCTCTTTGCTTATGACCAGAATGTGCGTTTTTTAATTTTAGTGCTGATTTGTTTCTAATGTAAAAACTACTTATTCATCCATATAGTCAAATTTTGGAATTTTTACGAGACTAGTGTACAAAATTTTTATTGTTCGGATTATATCAAAACAAATTTACAATTATCATTTGTACAGAATTGGTTGTGATAACCATTGAAGCCGTATTTTGCCGTACAATACCATTCTGATCTATCAGAAACAAAGTTAATGCGATCATATTTGTTAATAACTTATTGTTAGCGCATTTTCTCATTTATGGAAAAAATGCCCTATTGTGCTCGTCATGTCTGTCCGTCCGTGACTTCACACGTTTTCGTCGACGAGAAAATGCGCTCTTTGTCACTCGACGCAGTGAAGTACTGAGTTATATATTTTCATATTTTTTATTTTTAATGTTTTTTTATATCATTTTCAGCTCTGTACATTGCGAATACTTTTCAGGCATGGATTAACTACGAGCTACTACAATATCACAACGTTGCTCGAGAAACGGTCAACTTCATCACCACTCAACTTTCTCAACTTTATTTCCCGTCTATAAAACATCGGTTCGTTAATTTTTTATATTTTACGATGCTTCGCTAACCGTTTGATTTAACCGTAAATTTCGAAAGATTATTCGCGATTAGGATCTTCTGGAACTAGAATGCAGGTTCGGTTATGAAATATTCCAGATATAACGGAGGAATACCGGTATTTCAGTTGAATAATACTATTAATTACAATGTGTAAAGACTTATTCCATTTCACCTCTGTGAATTCGGCGTGCTCTATTTTTAACCTTTCACATTAGAATTATGTAGTATCGAATCATGTCGCTAAATAGGTTAATACTCAACAGTTCTACGTTAATAGGGTAGTATTTTTTCCTATTTTAAAGATAATAATAGCTTGTTTTTCCAGAATGTATGGCAGTATTTGCGACAATGTCGAATGGCACCGTGCCCATTTTATTTTCAAGGTAATAATAGATTGTTTTTTCCAGGCTGTACTGCAGTCCTCGCAACAGTTTGGAGCGACGCAGCGCGCAGCACGTATTGCACTGCGTGTTGCAGTGTCTTCTGCTCACGATGACTCCCATCGTACCGCACCTTACACACGACGTTGCTAGGCATTTAACTCCAGGTATAACATTGTTACTATCTTACATGAGAGGTCTTGCTCTTTTTTGTTTGTGTTGCTTTTGGGGCATCTTGTGTTGCTTTTGGGGCATCGGTGAATTTACTACTGAACATAGTGTATTAAATGCATAGTTGTTTGAATTTATCAAACACTTCATTAATACTACTAAGACATTCTATGCTAAATGATACGGATGATTTTATTCGTGTGCATGATTTCAACTTTCATAAAATCATTTTCGAAGAGGATTTCAGTTTGAGCTTGAGACAAAACCTTCCCCAACCGAGAATGAGAACTCTTATGATTGTTATCCAAGACACAAACTTGTTATCTACTACGAGTAGTTATGCGATGTGTACTTTATGTTGGACATTAGGGGACAAACTTTTCATTCGTGATCAGTCAGCCGCTTATACTGATTAGCCATTCGTCTGCTCAAAAAAAGTGCAATCTGATATGCATTTAAAGGATGATAACATGATACATGATATTTAAATACGTAGGTACATGATATGTTTAAATAGCATGATATGTTAAAATATGTTACATGATATGTTTAAAAAATATAATACATGATTTAAATACATGATGATACATGATATTTAAAAGATGATACATGAGCTATAAATTTTTTTTATTGTATTTAGAATAATGCGTCTGGTTTCTTGCGTTTTCTCACTCAGCCGTTTAATTATCGTTTTTTCATCAACAGGAGAGTCCCCTCAACTGAAAATAAGATCCCCTCTGCCGCTGGAATACCATGACCCCCACCTGGAAGAACTCCTGGCGCCGTGTCTGCGTGTCAGGGAGCAGCTCTTCAGTCTGCACGCTCTCAGCGGCCTCGCTTTCCGCACCACCAAACTTGATCTTACTTTATCCGCCGATTCTCCAGCCTATGAAGCACTCACCGTGAGTAACAAATTCGTTCGCATATGAATATTTTCATAAGGTTCTTCGTTAATTAGTTTCTTAAGAGACAGCCAAACACGATGATTTTTATTTCTATAAAAATGGTTTAATTTTTTCTTGGTTGAATGCGCTCCAAATAATTGAGTTATTTTGCATACTTAACCAAAATTAGTACACTGGAAATAATAAATTAAAATCACGGCTTACATGTTGTGCACGGATTTGTTCGGAAACTGGTTTGCCAACTGTCAGTTTTAAAAAGTATGGCTCAAACTTGTTCATACATATACTCCATTTATAAATTCAGATCCGCTGCGAATTATGTACAACACGGTATAAATTTATTCCCGTTTGCAGAAACTACAGAGCGAGAGCTACTCAGACTCGTCCATATTGTGCGACATTCTTCAAGTAGCGAGCGTCACCATCATCCGTCAATCAACAGGCGAGTTAACGCGTTCCTCAATCAGTTACTATGAATTAAGTATTTGTAAAGTTAGTGTACAATGTCCAGCATTATCGTACTATTATGCAATTGTTATACAATTTATATGCAAGCTTCAGGCATCAGTACTACAGTACATAAAATTAATGTACTAAGGCTATTCGCAACGGTTCAAGATTGGTACGAAATATTTAGTCTGCTTTCATCGTGCAATCATACGTGTCAGAAAATATTGAATAAGACTAGTCGTTACCTCGTAATGACAATTGTGACTGCAAACTATTGAACGAATATTTGTGAAATCTAATGAAGAGAGACCTGAATTTTTTTATATATTTTCAGATAATTTAACTGGGAAGGAGGACGAAGTGTCTCTATCGATATCGGAAAGCCCGTTACAGTCGTGTTTGCGATGCCGGAAGGTGCGCGCCGCACTCGGCAGCGAGCTGTGCCGAGAGTGCGATCTCTACATCCACAACCACTGCAGTGAAACGCCCGCCGAGTTATAAGGTAGCCGATACAATAGAATGCATTATTAGAATAACGCGCAACTATGTGCTGACAGGGCAATAAGTTAATTCATAAAATGTATGATACATATATTTGGAAACTTAAATCGTTTGTAATTACATAACAAAAAAGAAACGATTGCATTTGTTAGTAAATGTAAAAACAGCAGTGAAAAATCAAATTTTACACACGTTTTATGTACACTCCATCTTTGGTTCAGATAGCTTATAGAAGTTATTATTAGCGCTGGACATCATTGTATAGAACTGTAAAATTATACAAGTTCATATTGAAAACTATACGAATGTTTTCCTTTCGACCCTCATAGACCTCTAGTAAAATAATGAATGGATGGATGGACTAGCATGGCAGGAATGACTGGGTAGGTGACGCGTACATGATTGAAATGCAAATTTTCGAGCTTCAATCCACAATTCTAATCTACCTAAAAGATAGCTTAAATCATTTTTGAAATGCTAGGTTGAAAAATCAGTTTGAATAACGAACGTTGCATCGTCTTTCAGTTTAACTTTAATCGCTTAGCCGCACGTGTCACAAAAGATAGGGCCAGTCGTACGAAAGATTTCAATTTTCAAAAATTGAAAAGATTACATATAGGTAATATTTTATGAATCTATTTATTACGAATAATGTTTGTAAGTTGTCACTGCACCACCTAAATGTGCAAGCCTAGATCCAAGTTGATCCTTACGTCTCACTAAAACTATTTTTAGTTTAAGTCATGTTGCAATTTATTATACAATTATAGATCTGATTATATATTTAACAAATTAAATGAATTCGTGGAATAATTTATACGAGTACGTTGCCCACTATATTGCTGCTGGACTTTTATTCTTCTTCTTCTTCGCACTTGTCCAACTCATCGCACGACTTTGCTCTGTACCCGCTGCAAGAAATAATTAAGCCATTATTTTATAACAAGTTACAATTACTTAGCTCGGAAATGTATTTCTAATGGATTATTTCAAACGTATAGATTGGCTGTCACATATAATGCCAAAGACGATAGTTATAAATCATTTCACATTTTTCAAAGGTGCGAGTAAGACTTGGCGCTGTCTCATTGCAATTTTTTTTCACTACTATAATTTGGTTTAAATTTATATGCTAGATATAATAATTAAACTGACAAAAAATTATATGACGGCATTGTCATAATTTTTAAGCCAATGTTTCGAAGCGGTGTGGTAGTAAATTTTACTAGTTAGTATTATGCCTCAAGAACTTGATATAAATAATAATTTCGATATTTTTTTTCCATCTACCCATAAGAGTCCCCCTCCTCGCGACTTGCCTGCGAGTATTGGACGGAACCCTCCGGGCAACGTGTAGCAGAACCTGACCGCTCCTGATGCACTTGAACATCCCGATGGCCTCACCATGACTCGCCCCTGCCACGCTCGCACCGTTGATGGCCAGGATCTCGTCTCCTGTGATAACAAATATTATTATTAGTAAGAATATCTGCCTCGGATTATTATTCAACGCGCATTCGTTTATCCCAATTACATGGTTGTTACGTTAAATTAGTTACACAGTGTTCCATCTTTGATTAACGTGGAAAATTTATCCTGGTTAAAGTTTGTTAATCGGGACTTATCTGATGAAAATGTATCTAAAAAGCCTACAAAGATATTATGTAGGCTGAAAATGAACCTAAAAAGTCTGTAAACCCTACACTATTCGCTTCTAAGTGAATAAATGCATCTCTTCCATCTCCAAGAATTCACTTACCTTCTCGAAGCATGCCTTCTGCAGCAGCTTGTCCGTTGGGGAATATCGTTTTAACGAAGATGCCAATGTTGCCTTTAGGTGAATCCCGCCCTCCAACGATTGAAAAGCCCAACCCTTTCTTGCCAGCACCTTTCTCGAAGGCGACGGTGTGGAAGGAGAGAGAGAGCGACTTGGGGCGCCGTGGCAGCGTTGAAAGCGACACTGGGCGAACTCTCCGCGGAACCTGTTGCATTATAATTATTATTAATGACAACGAAATTGGAAGCAATATTAGCGAATGCTGTCAACTCGAGTGCGGTGGAAGCGTTCCATGGCTACTCTGTATGCAATTTAAATTGTACCATATTTCTTATTTGATGTAATACTTATGTCTGTCGTGGTGCGAAGCAAAGGATTTATTCTATTATATGGATCGTCAATGATTCTACAAAGTAAGGGCCAAACTAAAGCATATGGAGGTGCAGGTGCACAGCTGCTGGTAGCTCTACAGTCTTTGCGACGAGATCGTGCCAATAACATTACAATTAATAGACGACTACTCGTAATTTAATCTCCAGACAAGCCAAAGATTCAAGTCATTCTTGTTTGATTGATCACATGACACGAGATTATCGATTTGACTTAATAAGAAAAAAGCCGTTCATATTATGCTCATATGAGAATACTATTTTGGAAATTTATCGATTTGTAATGGCAACTAACGCATCGCTGATTGTGGCAGTCGGGCGATGCTCCATTTACAAAAATTCCGGAAGTCAGAGCAGCGCTCGGAAGGCTTTCCTCGTTTCCGTCGTTTGCTCTTGGGGATATAAGCAGCGGCGCAGCTGATGTAGACTGAGGAGATTCCTTAGATGTGCACATAAGTTGCGTCCCTGTGTAAAATAACGAGTATGAAATGAAATTAAACAAAATCTTACGTTAAACTTACAAAATATTTTAACATATTTTTTTTGTAATGAGCGCATTAGAATACTATTTGAATTTTCATTCTGGATGCTTAAACCATGTTTAAAATATGACGAAGTAGAATTAACAATCAGAAATCTCAACCGAATTGGAAAGAGGGGCACCAAATTAAAAAAAATTGTCGCGAACACAATAGAATAATTTGATTCTGACCATTGACCAATGCCGAGGAGTTAGTCCGAAACGCTGTACGTTCCGTAAATATTGAAGGTTTGCTTGAAATGTGCTCGGCGTGAATTCTCGCCGCACGCTGCGCGTCAATTTCTTCAGCGCAGCATTTTTTTAATTGAGAACACCTGAGAACGCCGTCCAGGTGTGATTGTGTTTTAATGACATTCGTAGGGGTTTGTCTGGATTGAAGGGAGATATCTTTAGTGTTTTTTCCATCGTAGGAAGCATAGTCTCTGTGCTGTAAGCGACCGGGCTGCCTCACCAACGTAGCTTCAGGAGCCGAACTGATTTGAACATCACGCATTGACGTGCACTCGTTCACGAGACTTGCAGGGGATGAGCACGAAGGTATCCTAGCTACAACTACGTCCACTTCCAGCGCAGGGCTGGCTAATAATTTTCTTGCCTCCATCAGCCCCATGCTGCGAAGTCGCGTTCCTCCAACATTAATTATTTCGTCGTTGACTCGAAGACGACCGTCTCTGCGGCACGATTTTGAAAACCAATGATTAAAATTTGCTGGTTCGCTTATTAACACTTATCCGTCGCTGACAAGACAATGTGAAACGTAACTTCTTACGAACTTCCAGTTTAAAAGTGTTGACCAAAATATCGAATAAGAGTTCAAAGATTTGTTTCCTAAAAAATTAAGAATTATGCTAAGAATCGTGAAAAAACATCTAAAACATGATGCAAAACTATTGACAGAATTTCAAGAAGATTATCTAAAGGTCATAATTTATTGATCGCAAAATTCAAGATGATTTTGAAAACAAAAAATTCGTTGACTTTGAAAACAAAGGCACGAAACATATTACGTCAGGTATATGTACAATGGGTTAGATCAATCGCTAGGTCCTGATGTAATTATTAGCGTCCGTACCTGTCGGTGAGACCACCGGGTTTGATAATGTGTATAAAGTAGCCTTCGTTTCGGCGGCCAACGATCTGCAAGCCAAGGTCTTCCGTTGGGTGTTCCTTCACAAGACGAACTAGTCGAAAAGTTTTGCTCGCCAGCGCCGACTGAAATAGAAAATTTTCCAGTGTATGAGCTTAGTATATACTAGCACAATATCAGCGAGAATATCCCTGCGAAACTACGTACAGATGGTTTATTACTGATTATGGCTCATAGCAAAATTCGTTGTGTACTCTCGACTAAAGCTCGACACCTGGTGAAATATTTTTAAGCAGAAAGTGAGCCCATGTGAGACCTCAAAAATATTTTTATCAATAATAGTAATTTAATGTACGTAGTCAAAAAAATACACAGAATATTTGATGGCTAGTTTATACCTATCCATACAAAAACATGATGATATAACGTTTTCTCGTTACAATAATATTATAGGTAAGCGTGTGTCACTCATAATATATTCATGGATTTTCAGGAGCTCATTTTACTAATTTGAACGATTTTCGAAGGTTATTATATAAAGATTTATTTATCTACACTTATTGGGAAGTAATCTGTCCATTGCAAGATATAATTCTGAATTACAAGATGAAATTTTAAGATGATTAGGCACTTTTTTGCTAATTATTTCCAGCGATATAATAAATTGGGAAGTTAAGCTAGCTGGACACTATTGTCGCGGCAACAACACTCACGTGCGTCAGCTGCGACACCCTCGGCAAACTCGGAGCCCGTCTACGGTATCGATTGACGACTGCTGTTATTGAGCTCGAATTCACGTCATCTGCTTCGGCGTCTTTGAGTGATTTCTCTTCAGTGTTGCTGCTTTCTTGTCGCCACGACTCCGCTCGATCTAAAGACGACGAGCGGGAATGTGTAGTGACAGGTGTAGGAGAAACGTTAGGCGATAACTGCTTTGACTTAAGGCGAGGCATTTCCTCGCTAGCGTTGCGTGGCGGCAACACCGAGCTCAGTCGACTCGCTCGGTGTAATCTCGAGTCCAGGATATCGATATTGAGCGATGAACGTTTGGATAGAGCTTCTGCTGCCGGATAAACGGCTTCGTACATTGATTCTGGGGAGTGTTGTGAGGATCCGATCGTTCGAGGACGAGGCTTTGTTTGCATCGGTTGTCTCTTTCTGACGGGCAAGTGTGAATAGCTGTCGTCCTTGTTGAATTTCAATTGGTTACAGTGAGGACATTTATGGCAGTTTGCACTGCCCAGAGCAAGTAACTTTTCCTCGTCAGTCATAGGGATTTTTAAACTGGACTTTAGTTCAGCGGGACTTCTATTTATTTTGAAATCACCGCTGGAGGTGAAAACTGAGTCGTCGTCATCATAGCTTGGTTTAATGTAGATTGACGTAGCTGAGCGGGTCGCGTCGCCGTCTACCTTGACCGTCACCACATAATCGTTGTCGCCAAGAATATAGAACAATAGAAAACGTCCTATCTAATATTTACAGGGCTAACATTAGCGAACGTTGAGCCAATAGACTTCAGTATACAACAGTACCGACTGCATTCAAATTAGTTCACTGTCAGAACTCTCCCTTACAGAACTCCACGATGGAGACCTAATAACATAAGAGACTAATCACAATGTAGAACTGACGGCATAAATGGTAGTGGCGGCTTGCACGGCCATGGGCCCGTATTGTCGGTCCTCCTCCCTCGTGATGCCCTCCACCAGCAAGTCGCTGAGACGTGTGAACATCTCGTGACTTGCCTCGAGTCTGCGGGAAGATAGGGCGGTTAGGATTAGGGAGCAAATGGTACAGTGAATTACTTGGAAAGGATACGATACAACAGTGAGGATTATTTAGGGAGGAAATGGTACAGTGAGGATTATTTAGGGAGGAAATGGTACAGTGAGGATTATTTAGGAAGGATACGGTACAGTGAGGATTATTTATGAAGCAAATGGTACAGTGAGGATTATTTAGGAAGGATACGGTACAGTGAGGATTAATTATGCAGGAANTAACTTTTAGTGTCGAATTTACTGCTTATTTATTAAGCAGAAACGTCATAAGAATGTTACGGAAACAACAATTCAACTACTGCTTCTCGTTCATCTATGGAAGGCGTGGCAAATGATTATTTTGTTTGTTCTGAGCAATACCATTTTCTTGTGCTTGCTGCAAGACGTTGCTAAAGCTCTGATGCTAAAAATAAGTTCCTATGATTTCACTAGTCTGAGACTCTTAGAAAGTGTCTAGTAAGTGAGTTATCATTTAGCTACTCCAGTGTCCACTCTCAATCACTTATCACGGTGTCTCTTTCTCTTAGACTCTTCACTCTTATCTATTAATTTATTCTATTAGTCTATCACTCTGTGATGTCCGTCACGCTGCGTTACCCTTATAATCAGTTCAATATATCTTACATAGGTTATTTACTAACGTAAGTCGCATTGAAGGGCAGTGACATCCTGGATATTTGGATGGACAGCGGCGTAACGTGGCAGGAGTTAGGAGGCCGGACTGCAGACCTCGTCATTGAGGGTTTGGATCAGTACAGAGGCTGGTTCCAGTCCACGCTTGTTACGTCCGTGGCTGACAGGGGCACCGCTCCATTCAAGTGCGAATACAAATAATTCTAGACTATGCTGACATTGCATTCTCAGTTGAGATAGCCAAGTGGTTCATTTAAATAACTAAGTAGAATACTAGAAGTCTATTTTATATATAAAATATCTTTGATATATTTTTTGCAAACGTTTTCGTCGACGCTCGCACACCTTGAAGTTTAAATACTCAACGTACGTTTGGAAGTTTGCTTAATGTATTATATTATGTGCAGGAGAATACTGGTTCATGGTTTCCCTGTGGATGAGCACGGCCGCAAGATGAGCAAGAGTGCCGGCAACATGGTGGACCCTAAAACCATCATTGATGGTAGCGCCGATATTAAGATGCGTGGCACTGACCTCCTCAGGTATGTCGATGATGGCTAACTCCTCCTTAGGTATGATGGTGATGGCTAATTTCTCCTCTGGTATGATGGTGACGAGAAAGTACCTACTCCTCAGGTATGTTGGCGATGAGTAATTACCGAAATTGCGTGATAAATTTGTTGCATTTTGCTCACATCTAATGCTTATTCATAGAAAATTTGCTGAGCTATTTAAAATTTTGTTTTCTGCTGTTATGACTACCCGAAGTTTAACAATCAAGAAGCTTCTTCGTTCTATCAATGAAACCAATCATAATAGTCAGCTATGTTGATTATTATACAGATGGTGGGTGTGCAGAACTGGAACTCTTCACGAAAATCCCATCTGTGGAGAGAACATTCTTGCTACGTATAACGAAGAGGTTCGGCGGCTGTCATCCATAATGAGGTACAGATAACCAGTTTGCGTTCAAAATCTGTCTTGTATATGCGTTGTTGAACCTATTCGTATGTACCATATCTTTGATTTAGAGTAAATAATTTTTAGTCTAGTGGTTCTTAATAGAACTAAACCCTTAGGAATGTGTTAACTTACTATCGAGTTAATTTATTGGGCTTCTTGAGACTTCTGAAAAATTATCTATCACGGTCATAGTCGGACATTCTTTTCATTTTATTTCTCACCGTTAAATGCGATAAATTTTATTGTTGTTGTGGAAAAATTGCCAGAAACGACAAGAGGGTTCTCAGCGTATATAGTTACAAATATAGAAGTGAAAAATTTAATTATCAACCTTCCGATATCACTATATCTATTTAATATAATAATATTCTTATCACTGCAGGTTCATGTTGGGATGTCTCTCCGACTACGACCCTGCAAAGGACGCGCCCAACTTCTCAGATTTATACATGTTCGATCGCTTCGCTCTTCATCGGCTCTTTGCTTATGACCAGAATGTGCGTTTTTTAATTTTAGTGCTGATTTGTCTCTAATGTAAAAAACTACTTATTCATCCATATAGTCAAATCGTGGAATTTTTACGAGAGTTGTGTACAAAATTTTTATTGTTAGGATTATATCAAAACAAATGTACACTTATCATTTGTACAGAATTGGTTGTGATAACCATTGAAGCAGTATTTTGCAGTTGCAGTACAATCGCATTCTGACCTATCAGAAATAAAGTAAATGCGATAATATTTGTTAATAACTTATTTTTAGCGCATTTTCTCATTTATGGAAAAAATTCCCTATTGTGCTCGTCATGTCCGTCCGTCTGTCTGTCCGTCCGTGACTTCACGTTTTCGTCGACGAGAAAATGCGCTCTCTGTCACTCACTGCAGTGAGTACTGAGTTATAATTTTTCATATTTTTTATCTCATGTTTTTATTTTATTTTCAGCTCTGTACATTGCGAATACTTTTCAGGCATGGATTAACTACGAGCTACTACAATATCACAAGGTTGCTCGAGAAACGGTCTCCTTCATCACCACTCAACTTTCTAAACTTTATTTCCCGTCTATAAAACATCGGTTCGTTAATTTTTTATTTTACGATGCTTCGCTAACCGTTTGATTTAACCGTAAGTTTCAAAAGATTATTTGCAATTAGGATCTTCTGGAACGAGAATGCAGGTTCGGTTATGAGGTATTCCAGATACCGTATACTAGAGGAATACCGTTATATATGTTGCATAATAGTATAAATTGCATGTGTAAAGACTTATTCCATTTCACCTCTGTGAATTTGGCGTGCTCTATTTTTAACCTTTTAAATTAGAATTATGTAGTATCGAATCATGTCGCTATGTATGGCAGTATTTGCGACAATGTCGAATGGCACCGTGCCCATTTTATTTTCAAGGTAATAATAGATTGTTTTTTCCAGGCTGTACTGCCTTCCTCGCAACAGTTTGGAGCGACGCAGCGCGCAGCACGTATTGCACTGCGTGTTGCAGTGTCTTCTGCTCACGATGACTCCCATCGTACCGCACCTCACACACGAAGTTGCCAGGCATTTAACTCCAGGTATTACATTGTTTCTTTCTTACATGAGAGGTCTTGCTCTTTTTTGTTTGTGTTGCTTTTGGGGCATAGGCGAATTTACTACTGAACATAGTGTATTAATTGCATAGTTGTTTGAATTTATCAAACACTTCATTAATACTAGTAAGACATTCGATGCTAGATGATACGGATGATTTTATTCGTGTGCATGATTTCAACTTTCATAAAATCATTTTCGAAGAGGATTTCAGTTTGACCTTGAGACAAAACCTTCCCCAACCGAGAATGAGAACTCTTATGATCATTATCCAAGACACAAACTTGTTATCTACTACGAGTGGTTATGCGATGTTTACTTTATGCTGGACATTAGGGGACAAACTTTTCATTCGTGATCAGTCAGCCGCTTATACTGATTAGTCATTCGTCGGCTCAAAAAAGTGCAATCTGATATGCATTTATTTAAAGGATGATACATGATATTTTCGCGTGAGCCATACAATTTATTTTATTCAGAATAATGCGTCTAGTTTCTTGCGTTTTCTCACTCAGCCGTTTAATTATCGTGTTTTTCATCAACAGGAGAGTCGCCTCAACTGAAAATAAGATCCCCCCTGCCGCTGGAATACCATAACCCGCACCTGGAAGAACTCCTGGCGCCGTGTCTGCGTGTCAGAGAACAGCTCTTCAGTCTACAGGCTCTCAGCTACCCCGCCCTCACCACCACCAAACTTGATCTTACTTTATCCGCCGTTTCTCCAGCCTATGAAGCACTCACCGTGAGCAGTAAATTCGTTCGCATATGAATATTATCATATGATTTTTCGTTAATTAGTTACTTAAGAGTCAACCAAACACGATAATTTGTAGTTTCCTAAGATGGTTCAATTTTTTTTCTAGGCTGAATGCCCTCCAAATAATAGAGTTATTTGCATACTACTTAACCAAAATTAGGACACTGGATATAATAAATTCAAATCACAGCTTACATGTTGTGCACGGGATTTGTTTGGAAATTGGATTGCTACACCAACTGTCAGTTTTAAAAAGTATGGCTCATACTGATTCATACATGTACTCCATTTATAAATTCGGATCCGCTGCGAGTTACGTACAACACGGTATAAATTTATTTCCGTTTGCAGAAACTACAGAGCGAGAGTTACTCAGACTCGTCCATATTGTGCGACATTCTTCAAGTAGCGAGTGTCACCATCATCCTTCAATCAACAGGCGAGTTAACGTGTTCCTCAATCAGTTACTATGAATCAAGTATTTGTTAAGTTAGTGTGCAATGCCCAGCATTATCGTACTATTATGTAATTTTAATACAATTTATATGCAAGCTTCAGGCCTCAGCATGGAAAAGAAATGTGACAATTGTGACTGCAAACTAGTAAACGAATATTTGTGCAATCTAATGAAGAGACCTGAAGATTTTTTTATATATTTTCAGATAATTTAACAGAGCAAGACGACGAAGTGTCTCTTTCGATATCGGAAAGCCCGTTACAGTCGTGTTTGCGATGTCGGAAGGTGCGAGCCGCACTCGGCAGCGAGCTGTGCCGAGAGTGTCATCTATACATACAGAACCACTGCAGTGAAACGCCGGCCGAGTTATAAGGTAGATGATATAATTAAATTCATTAGTAAAATAACGCGCAACTATGTGCTGACAGGGCATTAAGTTAATTCATAAAATGTATGATACATATATTTGGAAACTTAAATCGTTTGTAATTACATAACAAAAAAACGATTGCATTTGTTAGTAAATGTAAAAACAGCAGTGAAAAATCAAATTTTGCACACGTTTTATGTACACTCCATCTTTGGTTCAGATAGCTTATAGAAGTTATCATTAGCGCTGGACATCATTGTATAGAACTGTAAAATTATACAAGTTTATCGTGAAAACTATACGAATGTTTTCTTTTCGACCCTCATAGACCTCTAGTAAAATAATGAATGGATGGACTAGCATGGCAGGAATGACTATGGGTAGGTGACGCGTACATGATTAAATTGCAAATTTTCAAGCTTCAATCCACAATTCTAATCTACCTAAAAGATAGCTTAAATCATTTTTTGAAATGCAAGGTTGAAAAATCAGTTTGAATAACGAACGTGGCATCGTCTTTCAGTTTAACTTTAATCGCTTAGCCGCACGTGTCACAAAAGATAGGGCCAGTCGTACGAAAGTTCAAAAATTGAAAAGATTACATATAATATTTTATGAATCTATTTATTACGAATAATGTCTGTAAGTTGTCACTGCACCACCTAAATGTGCAAGCCTAGATCCAAGTTGACCCTTACGTCTCACTAAAATTATTTTTAGTTTAAGATTTCGATATATTTTTTTCCATCTACCCATAAGAGTCCCCCTCCTCGCGACTTGCCTGCGGGTATTGGACAGGACCCTCCGGGCAACGTGTAGCAGAACCTGACCGCTCCTGATGCATTTGAACATCCCGATGACCTCACCATGACTCGCCCCTGCCACGCTCGCACCGTTGATAGCCAGGATCTCGTCTCCTATGATAACAAATAGGATTATTAATAAGAATATCTCGGATTATTATTCAACGCGCATTCGTTTATCCCAATTACATGGTTATTACGTTAAATTGGTTACACAGTGTTCCATCTTTAATTTATATGGAAAATGTATCCTGGTTAAAGTTTGTTAATCGGGACTTATCTGATGAAAATGTATCTAAAAAGCCTATAAAGATATTATGTAGGCTGAAAATGAACCTAAAAAGTCTGTAAACCCTACACTATTCGCTTCTAAGTAAATAAATTCATCTCTTCCATCTCCAAGACTTCACTTATCTTCTCGAAGCATGCCTTTTTCTGCAGCTTGTCCGTTGGGGAATATCGTTTTAACGAAAATGCCAGTGTTGCCTTTAGGAGAATCGCGCCCTCCCACGATTGAAAAGCCCAACCCTTTCTTGCCAGCACCTTCCTCGAAGGCGACGGTGTGGAAGGAGAGAGAGACGGCGCCGTGGCATCGTTGAAAGCGACACTGGGCGCACTGTCCGGAACCTGTTGCATTATAATTATTATTAATGACAACGAAATTGTAAGCAATATTAGCGAATGCTGTCAACTCGAGTGCGGTGGAAGCGATCCATGGCTACTCTGTATGCAATTTATAAATTGTACCATATTTCTTATTTGATGTAATACTACATGGAAATTAACAATCAGCAAGACGTCCATACTTCGCAACTCGTTTAGCATCGACTGTTCGTTTCGCAAACGAAGCTTTTTTCACATCGTGTTTCTCTAATTTTGGTTAACAAAAAGACCACGAAACGGCCCTGAATCTTGCAGCTGGATACCATCATGCAGAATAAGGAATGTACGTATGTTGCGGACAAAATCCGCCTTTCATATTTTCAGACATTTTTGCACCTACAACGTAGACTGCAAGATATATTACATTCATGCTATAGTAACGATGCAGTTGGTAATTTGAATGAACAGAATTCTACACTCGTTTTTCATGAGCGTACGTTTTAAAGCGTAAAACTTTAGAAGAAAATCAACAATCCGAGCCATGGACAAAAGTAGACCGATTTGTTGCTAGATAAAATACATAATCATCTCATTCATAAATCGCTACTTAGCCCTGGCGCGACACGCCGAAAAAAAAAAATATTCCCCAGTTACTGAAGAAATCAAAGAAGTTCGTAAGAACTGCAGTGCTAAGACATGAAGAAAACGGCTACAAGGCTTATGATTTCTACAACTCTTGCCCAGCCCAGCTCTATGACACATAGGAAAACGCTTCTGAACAAGAGCGATTCTCAAACGCATTGTACCTCCCATAAACGATACTCGAATGTAAAAAAATGAGCAAAAATGTAAAAAAAAAGGTAGCATTAAACTCAAGAGATGGCGTTTGGTGACTAGGCTATAGCTTCCATATCACAAAAACCTTGGGATGAAGAGCTGCCCGTTCCGTATAGATAATCCTTTTTGCAAGAGTTAAGTATAGGTACTTGAATACGAGCAGTAGATATTTTACATGGTAATACTTACCTCATCTAAAAAATTTACAAGGGATATTTTTCTGTCATATATATACTATCATGTGCATCATAAATATTTTAAGCAGCTCATCAATATTTACAGATTTATGGGTTGGTGAAGTATCAATATTCGTCTAAAATTGAAAATATATGGAAATGAAGGCACATGACCTTTTTGGAACGGGTAAAGTATTGGAACACTGCTTGCCGGCCGCTCGGAGAAGAAAGGCAACCACTGTAGTGTATGGTGCAAGGGTTGTTGGTGTCGTTGCATTTTATTTCAATTTTTTCATGTGCATAGGAAGTGAGAGTTTAAATAACCTTGTAAGGTAATTATAAAATAGTTTATATGACCTGGTAAGGTTATTTCATCATTGTGAGTTGGATAAACGAAAATTATCTATTATTCTTTCCGGTAGCTAATATGGCTGCTTATATAGTACAGCGGGCCATAGTGGGATTCGCAACCGTTGCAAGTCGTGACGCGTGGTGGTCTAATAATGGTGGCGATCATGGTCATATGAAACGGAGTTAGTTTATTAAATTATCAAGTTTAGGGGTCGCCGGGTCAGTTGTCTTTGGTTTTATAATTTTAATGATATTATTTCGTATCATAATTTGTGGCTGACAGTGGCTCATTAGGACACTGCAGCAACCGCCAGGGCGTTATTTCAGAGTGGTAGAGCAGAGCTGTGGTTAACAAATTTAAGATATATCCAGCCTCTTAACATAATCAGTTCCAAATATTGTCAAAATATTAAAAGAGAATAGTTGTATACCTATCCATTTAAATATCAAATGTGCAACTGGCAATTTGAATATTAAATCACTTTGAATACTCTGATTGTCTGATAGAAGCTACCGTAAAATTGGGTTACCTACTTTGACCGGCAGGGTAACTTTGACCACTTTTAGTTTTTTTAACAAAAACCCCCAAAACTCAAAAATGATTAGACATAGAAAAATTTTGTCAATGGCCATCAAAGGCCTCATAGGCCTACTGAGCCAGACAGGAATATTGGGCAAATTTTTTAGAATACCGCGAGTGAAAAGAGACTCTTCAAGGGTGAAGTTGGAAAATCACGGGTGACATTTTCGTCCTCCTGGGTGCTTCTTGAAAATCGCGGGTGAGAATTTACTGTTCTCGGGCAATTTTACGAAATCGCGTGTGAACAGCTGTTACCTACCCAGGATGGAATTCTAATTTCAGAGGTTCATATATTATTTAGATCCACCAAGACCACTTCATGTATCCAACATCGTTATTTGAGTCAAAAAATGAACTTCTTAAAGGCTTAAAACACGCACGCTAACTTGCTCAGTTTCTATAAAGTACCTAATCACTTGGAAGTTGTAAACCTGCACCTATCACTCAACAATCAAAATTAGACTTATAAAAAAGTATTAGTTAGTTGAAAATTTGTCTCTTAAGTTGACCGCAATGAACTAAACTTCATTAAGTAATCATTAGTCAGATTTTTTCATCATGCACACTAAACACGCAATTCAGAGTTCAGACAAGACGAACTTCATAACACGAGAGCTAACGAGCTACTGAATTGAATTGCTTCTTTCCCGCTAACGCTGATCTAGCGGAATGATCAATCCTTACTTAATTCGTATGCGGTTGTATATGAATTTCGAATTAACTAATCGTTTGTATACTTAATGCAAGAGAATGAATAATTATGTTGTTTCTGATCAAACAAACGAAAACTTTTTCTGTTTCTGATCAAACGACTAAAAACTTCTGATCAAACGACTAAAAACTTCTGATCAAACGACTAAAAACTTCTGATCAAACGAATGAAAACGACTTTGAATTCTAATACGGATCGTTAATTTTAACATCGTATTTCCAAAAATCAATTATTGCATTTCTTTTAATTGAAAAACATCCTTTTACATAAAAAACAACGAATTTTTTCTTACAGCTCCTCAGGAATGACGAATGAATGCTCCTCATATTGACAAATGACGATCTTACTCGTATAGCTAAAAATTTTAAATTGTATGATTTTGTCATTTCAAAGACTCTATTGAATACAGAACTTTAGTTTTTGGAAGTGTATTCAAGAAAAGTTTCTGAAATAGTAGAAACATTTCCATTATCATTCTGGAATAGAAGCGTCATTTCTGTTCTTATATATAAACATGATTAATAAAATACCTATCAAATCCATCCAATGTAATTCAATTTGTGATGTATGAACGACCGTTTTACTTTGATTCCTATGATGCTCATTTTTACCGGTTAAAGCTGTAAAATTAAATTAAATTAAAAAATTAAATAAAATTAAATTTTACTTAATCAAAATTTATTATTTAATACACTACTTGGTACATGCTGTAGAATTAAATTCTATTAGAAAAATGTTGAATTAAAAATCTGATTATATTTTTTAAATTAAAAATTAATTTTTATTGAATTAAATTGTATTTTTAATGCACTATACCGTACGTGCTCTATGTTTTCTATAATGAAATAGTTTCCCATATTAAACAACGAAAATTTTCTAAAAGACACAAAACGTTCGAAAACGCGGGATGGCAGACTAAATCATTCAGAATTTGAAGTCAATTTATCAAGATAAATTCAACATAATAGGGCAAAAAATTCAAATCTGGAACGTATAAATAGGTTTTTATAATTTAAAAAAAACTTTCAATCATTTAAATCTCAGAATGGAATTTGAATCAAGTCTATTTATTGTGAAATCAAACTAGACACAACCAAAACATAAGTCTGTGACACCGTCTTGTGAGAAGTAAACGGAAAACGCCATGTGAATGTAAGCAGTGAAAGAGTGGAAGTTTATCTCATAATTTTGTGTGAAATCAAAAACATTGTGGGTGTTGTCCAATCGTGAGAATTTTTTATGAAGCTGGATGTGTTTTTTTTTATTTTAGAATGTATTCATTGCAAAAATGTGTCCGCAAGCCTACAGATAAACGACTAGTTAACTAGATTAGTCGTTGGCAACACGGGATTGGATTTCAAACCACGCACGATTTCGGAAGCACGCTACGTAGTTTCCAATGAGCTCAGTTTATAAATTTTCATTGCAGTGGAAGGTGGTGTAACACGGTGGTAGGGTTGGTATTTCGATACGTTTTCTTAAATTGACATGAGAATATATTACCTATACAGAATTCCACACTGTACCTACCATCTCTCAACTTCTTGCGCCGAGCCGCTGAACGAGAGGTGCCATGCCATAGACCAGCAAATTACCTCAAATCAGCCCTGGAGCCAACATCAGCCTTCTAAATGCTATTGATATAGTCATCCTGGCAGTGGCACCTAAGCAGCTGTACTCAATTGACCCATCGTACCTCACAAACTTTAAACCAACAATGCTTCAGCTCACAAGCTGCTATTCCACATAGTTAACGGTTGAAACGTCGTTCTCCAATAACTTTCAACCGACACCATCACCTCGAAGGATTGGATCGTCGTCAAGCATATGTATATTATACTCGTATGTTGGATGGTTCTACAGGCAATTAAGTTGAGAACACTGGTTGTTGAGTCGTTACTATGGAGTTCTTGAGAAATTAATGCAGTAGTAAAATAGATAATAAATACTATACAAAAGTCACTTGTTTTAATCGTATAACATAAATAATCTTCAGAATACTTCAGGCCGGGTGGCCCTGCAGTTGTTGAAGCTCAAAGTACCAAAATTGGAGCAGACATGCGCATGTTCGATACAGCTCTGCATGTGCGCCAGGGGAGCGCAGCCGTGCACCAATAAGCCCTGAATCGAACGCCTTG